TTAAAGATTATCACATTTATTTTAATAGCATTCATAAGGCTTTGTGAATTGAGCATGTATATTTAATACTGATAAGCAACAATGCAATATATTCTCACTTCAAGAATATCAGTATGTAATATGTAACTATATTATATAAAAATTAGGGTGTGATGAGTTAAAAATTTTTCAGTTAAGGCTTAATTTTCTGCTAATAAACTACTTGGGGTTGTGCAGAAACAAAGGGAGTCAAAGGAACCTAAAGCAAAAGTTTTAATCATCTTTAGCAAATGATGATCTTGAAAAATAAATATTAAAAACTCATTTGGTATGGTGATTTCTGAAAAAGTTAGACATGGAATTATCATATACTCCAGAAATTCCATTTTTGGGTATATAGCCCAAATAATTGAAACCAGGGACCTGAACAGATACTTGTATACCCACATTCTTAGGAGCTTTATTCACAATAGCCAAAAGGTGAAAATAACCCAAGTGCCCATTGATGGATGAATGGATAAACAAAATGTGGTGAGCTTTAAAAAGAGGGAAGATTTTATGCTAAGATATTAAGCCAGACACAAAAGGACAAAAACTGTATCATTCACTTATATGAAATATCTACAGTAGTAAAATTCATAAAGATAGGCTGGGTGTGGAGGCTAATGCCTGTAATTCCAGCACTTTGGGAGGCCGGGGCAGGAGGACTCCTTGAGTTCAGGAGTGCGAGACCAGCCCAGGCAAAATAACGAGAACTTGTCTCCAAAAAAATTTTTTAAAAAAATTAGCCAGCAGGCATTGTGGTGCATGTCTGTAGTTCCAGCTATTTGGAAGGTTGAGGCAGGAGGATCACCTGAGCCAAGGAGGTCGAGACTGCAGTGACCTGTGATCATGCCACTGCACTCCAGCCTGGACAACAGAGTAAAACCTTGACTCAAAAAAAAAAAAAAAAATCATAAAGATAGAACATAGAATTGTATTTTTCAGGGACTTCGAAGAGGAGAAAATGGGGAATTATTGTTTAATGCATAGAGAGTTTCAGTTTGGGAAGATGAAACACTTCTGGAGATGGATGGTGGTGATGGTTAAACAACAATGTGAATGTCCTTTGCTTTTTTCACCCTGATTCTTACAACTTATGAATATAATGTGAATCTTCTTAATGTCACTGAACTCTACACTCAAAAATGATATAAATGGTCCATTTTATGTTACGTATGTTTATTTTACCACAATTTAAAAAAAAACCCTTTATTTGAAGTCATAATACCCTACCTAGTTTAGGTGAAAGAAAAAATGTAACTTAATGTACACCTCTATTTCAATGTCTAAATGGAGTATGTCCTCTTTCAAACATCCTGCCAAGGTAATTTAACATACATTAGTGACCCACTGTCTGATCACATATCCTGAACCTGGAGTTGGAAAATAGTCACCAAAGACATAGTAACCTATGAAGAAGACAATTCTAGACCTCTGCTGTCCAATACTGTAACCATTAGTCATATTTGTCTATTTGAATTTAAATTAAGGGTGAGGTGGCTCAAGCCTGTAATCCCAGCACTTTGGGAAGCTGAGGTGAAAGGATTGCCTGAGTCCAGGGGTTTGAGACCAGCCTAGGCAATTTGGTGAGACTTTGTTTCTATAAAAAAAAAAAAAAAAAAATTAGCCAGGCGTGGTCGCGCATGCCTGTAGTTCCAGCTGCTTGGAAGGCTAAGGCAGAAGGATCACCTGAGCCCAGCAGGTCGAGGCGCAGTGACCGTGAGTGTGCCACTGCATTCCAGCCTAGGCAACAGAGTAAGACTCTGATTCAAAAGTAAACATTTTTTAATTAAATAAAATTAAACATCCAGGTCCCCAGTTATACTAGTCACATTTCAAATGCACAATAACTACATTTGTACAGTGTGGATACAAAATATTTCCATCACTGCAGTGCTCTTCTAGACTCTAGTCTAGTGTACAGTAAATGTTTTTGGCAATCATCAGTGTATATGTGAGGACAGAGGTCAATTCAGAATAAAAATAAAGATCCAGCCATGAAGAGTGACCTACAGAGGAAATGACCAGTTAATTAAATGTTTATAACTGACCATAACAGATACAAGGGGGACCCTCCCCCTAAATGGAATTGATTTACAAAAAATTGTGTATTCTTACTTGTTTAATTACAAGGTTATTTTAGTAATCTTCAAAGTACTCTTAGTACACCTATTGAGACACATTTTCTACTGCTCAAAGCAGTTTTGGAACTTGTCAATTTGGATGCCTTTTAGTGCTTTTGCTGCGTTTTGTTTCACTTCCTCCACGTAAGCAAAATATTTTTCTTTGAGGACTTTTTGGATCCGGGAGAACAAAAAAATTTGCGTGGGGTGAGATTGGTTGAATGGGGAGGGGACACGGGGTCATGCTGTTTTGGTCAAAAACTGGAACACACAGCTCAGTGTGGGCAGGTGAGCTTGCAAATTACCCATAAAAGGGGCAACCTTTCAAAAAAAATTTTAAAAAAATTTACGGAAGCTGAACACAGCCTCTCACAACAACTCTAGTTGGAACATTGATCCCAATGGGTTCCCAGAACACTCACCTGGTGGGGAAAGCCTGTACTACAAGGGGCCTGTCCTCCGAAAAATAATTCTGATTTTTTTTTGTTCCGCCCTGGTATAAGCTGAGTGCCATCTTTATCATGACAATGTTGCATAAACTTTAATGAAGAGAAAGGTAGAACTAGTTATATCATCTTGGACACACCAAAAGACAAATCTTTTAAAAAAAATAAGATCCCACATGGATCTTATGGGAGAAATATTGTTAAGTACATTTTCACAGCCACTCTACAGAATACTACGGAATTTCAAAATTAAAAATGCAGAGATTATACATAACAACACAAAAATATGCTGGTATATTAAGAAAAACAAGAGGTTATAAAATCAGTTCTATAGTCTGAATTTTGTTATGTACTACGTACGTAGAGATATGGATAACTATTACAAGGAAACATAAAAAAAGAAAAACAGGGCAACCCCTTCGGGTCCCCCTCCCACTGTGGGAGCTTTTCTGTCCTCTCAATAAATCCTGCTTTAAAAAAAAAAAAGAAAAAAGAAAAAAAGTGAAATAGTGGCAGATTTGCTGAAGAATTATGGGTATTTAATAAAGTAGCACTGTTAAAGTATTGCAAAACAAACAAAAAATGTAAACAAGCGTATGCTATTTCATTCTAACAATGGAATTATGCACTGTTTTGTAATACCACTTGCATGTTCACGAATCTCAATTCCATATACAGAATCCTATGCATATTCTGGGATATGCAGTCGTTCTAGTAAAATAAAATGTCCCCAGAAAAAATATTTTCAAAGAACTGAAAAACTGGAAGAGTCTTTAAGAGTTTATCCTATCTAGTTCTCTGTCTGCATAGTTTTTAAACTAAAAAATAGCAATTAAAAATTTGTACAACTTATGACATATCAGCATCTAGCACACAGGGCTTTTGTTTGTGTACTAAGAACGTTTATCTAGCAGATAAGCCAGGTGATAATACAGTAATTTATTTAAATATCTACCTACATACTTTCCACATGATCACGTCATAGTGGAACTATAAAAGAATGTATCAAGTGCTGGAAAGAAGACAAATCTTACACATTACAAATAATGTTCCCTTCAAAATGACATATAATTTTCTCTATAAATCAAAGCTCCTAGTTTCTTAAATATATTTCTGATGCAAAATTGTATAAATTAAGGTGGGATCTAGTCAATTCTATAATTTTTCATATGAGTTATGTTAGAGTAAGGAGGATACATAATTAGTTTAGAAATACTTTAAACAAGGCCTTCTACAGACTTTTTGGAGAATATTCTATTTGTCAAAACCATGTTTTGAGTGTTTTACCTTAGAAAAATGCCAAGCCGGGCTTGGTGGCTCAGCCTGTAATCCCGCGCCTTTGGAAGGCTGAGGTGAGTGGAATGCCTGAGCCCGTGGGTTCGAGACCCACCTGGGCAACTTGGCGAGACCTCATATCTACAATAAATCAAAAAAATTAGCCGGCGTAGTAGCGCGCGCCTGTAGTTCCAGCTACTTGGAAGGCTGAGGCGGAAGGATCGCCGGAGCCCAGCAGGTTGAGGCTGCAGTGGCAGGGGGGCGGCCACTGCACTCCAGTCTGGGGGACAGTGAGACTCCAACTCAAAAAAAAAAAGAAAAGAAATGCCAAGAATAAAACAAATTCAATAACATCTAACACCAAGTTTGATGACAGGAAAGTATTAGACTTCAATTCCATTATTAAATTTTTATATGGTTATATTTGTACTTACGCATTTCATATAAATACGTGCTTTATCACATTTAATAAATGTATGCTCATAATTATATTTCTTTAGTCAATTACTGTTTTCCTAATATTTTAAATCATGTGTGTAGTCTCCAAAGCTAAAAAATTATAAACATGATTGTGGATATCTTAATTGGTTTAAATTGAAAAGCTCTCAGCCGGGCTCGGTGGCTCAGCCTGTAATCCCGTGCCTTTGGGAGGCTGAGGTGAGTGGATTGCCTGAGCCCGTGGGTTCGAGCGAGACCCGCAGCGAGACAGCGAGACCTCATCTCTACAATAAATCAAAAAATCAGCCGGGCGTGGTAGCGCATGCCTGTAATTCCCGCTACTTGGAAGCTGAGGCGGAAGGATTGCCGGAGCCCAGCAGGTCGAGGCTGCGGTGGCCGGGAGCGGCCACTGCACTCCAGTCTGGGCAACCGAGTGAGACTCCAACTCAAAAAAAAAAAAAAAAAAAAAAGAAAAAGCTCTCATTTTATATTGAGTCAAACATTTTGCTGCAGGGAAGCCCTGAGTCCAAGTCCCAACTAGTTCACTCATTGATAAGCTGTCCTGATTAAGTCACTTTACTCATTTGGTTTCAGTTTCTTCATTATAAAATGAAAGAATAAGGAAGACGATATCTAGTGCCTTCTAATTTAAAGATACTACCTCATCATAAGTGGTCGTCTGAGTCAAATAACTTACCTCTCTTAACACAGGATCGGCTATTGAATTCAGATTGACAGCTCCTTCATAGGTCAGGTAATAGAATACATTGAGGGCTCGGACAGCCTCTGGTCCTTGCTGCTTATAGCCAAAAATGAGATCAATCCATTGGTGAAGCTGGCAGGAAACAAATTCACTCTCCAGGGCCTGAAAAATGGTATAGATCATATTATGATGCTGTATTCCTTTTTTTTTTTTTTTAAGTATAGAAAGATATTTATAATAAGCAGTAAAGTTTAACACTAAATTTACTGTGAATAGTCTTTAAAATAACAAAACCTGCTCTGATGTCCAATCTTCCACCAAAAAGTGTTCTCCTTTGTTTACAACTAGAGACTTTCTGGCACTTGGCATGCTGAATTGTAATAAATGCTTAAGTTGCAGTATTCTTCTAGTGTACTATAAGTACTGTGAGGACCAGGACTGGGCCTATCTTGGTCACATTTGTAAATCACAGTCTGACAGGTAATTTATGCCTCAAAGAAAGGAGATCATATGATGCAGAGACTACTTTGGGAAAGCACAAGTGAAAACAATAAAAAATTACTATTGACTTGAGATATTTATAATTTTTCTAGAATTAAAACATTTTGTAGTCTTACTACAACAAATTATTAACCAAATTATTTAGCTATTTTGACTGATTTTTATGCTAACAAATTAGATCTTATGGGGGGATATTTATAATTATTGAATTATTATTCTAGGTGTTACTATCAAACCAGATCAAATATTTAATGCCATTAACATAACAGTATCCAGTAAATAATGAATGAGCATAATCAAGTATTCAAGTTGAAATACTGGGCATTAAGATCCATTTTCTGTTCCTCATGATATTCCCAGTTACTAGCATTGTGTTGAAAACACAATAGATATCAATAAATGTTTGGTGAATTTAATAAGGTTAGGAATACTAACATGTTTTAAGAACTGGAGACATGTTTTGGGAAGCTATTCATCTTTCTACTACTAAATGTTGCTCAAAAGTATTCCAGTATCAAAGTTTAGTGTGATTGACTAGTTTACCAACAAATAAATACTTCTACTAAAATCAAAGAGTTCACAAACTTAAACTCTGCAGTTTAATTAAGAGTACACAGTAGTTGCTGTTTATTCCCAGAGGAAGCCTGAAACTGTGGCTTGTACCAAGCCCTATACATACTATGTCTTTTCCTATACATGCATATCTATGATAAAGTCTAATTTATAAATAAGGCACAGTAAGAGGTTAATAACAAAATAGAACAATTAAAACAATATACTATAAAATGTATTTATATACTGTAATAACAGTTGTGTGAATGTGGTCTCTCTATTGCCAAGTTTCCTACTTTACTGTACTCTCCATTTCTGGACGTTGGCTAACCACAGGCAACTGAAACTGTCAAAAGAGAAACCACCAATAAGGGGGACTACTGTACCATGTTACACCTGGTCATATATCTCATTGAAATTAATTATTATTTTTAGAGTAATAAGTGTTTGACTATGATGTATTTCTCATAGGGTTTGCTGCTACAGTATCAATATTATAAGAGATTTGTTGGTTTCAAAATAAAACTAACCAACTTCTATAGCAAGTAACCAGTGAGATAAAAACCATCTTGCAACAAAAGATGTTCCTATTAGTTCACAGGTGTACACATGTGTAAATATGTGCTTTATTAAAATAAGTGTCTATGAAAAAGAAAGATGTTTAGGGCTAAATACAAGTAATCATTTATTTTAACTAATATCATTTAACATGGTTCACGATATATCACATACTATAAAATGTAAAATATAATTCTGTATAAAACTAGGCAAATTCTCACATTCTAAAGTATACTTGAAATAAATATATGCCTAAAATGTATTTAGCTAGTTTCAACTGAGAAAGTTACGGTTTTAGACACATTTAATAAAATGCATTACATTTATAAATTTAGTAAACAGAAAAGATAGCACAAAACTACTTCGTACTTTACTTGAGATAAGAAGAAAAAGGCTTGTAATACTTTTAAGTAAATTTCTATTTTAAGTACATGAATTAAAAAATCTATGGATAACTAATGCAAATTATACACAAAAATGATACGTTTGTTTCATTAACTTAGGCCTTGGGTAGAGGTGGCGGTGGGGTGGGGTGGGGGACACATTTAAAATGACACATAAAAACAGCAATTGTCTTAATTTGTGTGCAGTACACTCCACACAAAAGCCCTAAATATGTTCAAATTAGAGCAAGCTGCTTGATTGTCACTGCAGTCTCATGTCACATTAATGCATGACAAACATTAAACCATACACTTAAATGGCAATTTATATCATTTAAATGTTTACTGCCAGACTAGCTCATCATTCATTTAAATGTGACTTTCTGACAGCTAATTTCAGTTAATTTTCTCCAATTCACTTAATTAGAACTTTCAATCAGGGAAGGACCTATACATATCTTCAAGCTTACATCCTTTTTGGTTATTGTTCAAAATCTGAGTTCATAAGCTGCCAGAAAGCTCTCCTATAGTAGACAAACATGTAATATCTCCGAATCTACAAAAAGCATGACTATATGAAGCAAACTCACAGTATGTATTCTTAGAAAGAGCCTACACTTATTTATATAAATAATATTCTCACTAGTTGTTTAAATAAAAAATGTTTGGTTCATATACACACACGATTGAAACAATAAAAAAAAAAAACCTGCATCCAAGCTAATTAAAAATTAATGATTTCAAAATTGTTTAATAAGATAAAACAGCCAGGAGTCTCCCAAGTGTCCATGGTGTTGCGATTTGAGACTATAAAATTCTAGAAGGCTCAGCAAATGATGAACTACAAATGAATTTTCTCAATATTAAAGCTCTAAAAGCTGGGGCAATTTTATTTTGTGTCAACAAACAAAGAATTGTTGAGAATTCCTTACGGTTGACTACTTTACGCACATTCAAAATCGTAAAGTTGGTTAGATTTAGATGGTTAAGGTTTTACACCTTGACACTGCATCAGAATTTTAAGCAAAAATGCTAAAAGGAAAGGTACTGTACACTCATATGATGCCACAAACACACATGCAGAGATAACCATAATGCCATTGCTCAGCCCTCCCCTTACGTTGTAATACGTCACTCCTTAAGGGGTTGACCAGTAATTCATGGAACTATGGCAAAATCATTTCAGGAAGTTGATATACACATTACTTTCATGAATAAACTTAAAATAGTTTTTAAAAAACTAAACTAAAAATTTCATTAGTCACCTTCAGGCATTTCTTGATTGAAGGGACCTAAAAGAACAACTACAATGAATATAAGAGAATTCCAAGATGTTCTGAAATGATTTCAGCATAAAGTCAGTTCAGAAGATGTAATACCCTTTTGATACCAGTGAATGACAGCTGCCTAATCAAAAGTACATATTAATGAAAATGTGCACTTAAGACTTGAGGGAAGAGGAAAGGACAAGCGGAGGAAATTAAGAAAAAAACACAAACAGAAAATAATTCAAAATGGAATACTCTGAGATTGCATTTTATAACTTTTGTTTTGAGATTCAGGAATGTAAATCAAAAGTCCTACATTAAAATTCTTTCAAATCCCTTTCTTATACATTAACATTTTTTAAAATACTCTTTATACATATACAATTCTTATTTAGACCCACATTTTTAGTTACAAAAAATACCTAAAAACATGCCAGTGGAATGCTAGCCATTTGAAATTTTTCAAAGCTTTCAGAAGAGACAGTCCTCATTAAGACTGGAGTTAAATACGGTTTGCAGCTAGGGGACAGTAACATTCTTACCATGCTGCTTTCAAACCTAACCAATCAATTGTTAGTACTCCCCTAGCAGGCTGGACCCATCATTTACATCCAATGTGTGCTCTGAGTAAAATTTGTAAAAAAGAAAATCCACTAAAATGTCCAACACAGTACAATAATATTCAACTCATCTGAGTTATTATAAAATAAATCTGACTAATGCCCAATTGTTAGGGATCAAATCAGACTATGAAAAGACTATCATATGAAGCCTCACACAAATTGTCAATCCAATCCAAGGGGACTCATATTAGTCTTGACAAACTGTCTTGGGGCTGATATCTGTTTTTTTTAATGAGATCTATTAGGCAGAGACTAAAACACTTGAGACATGCTAAAAAGTACAGTATACAGATGTCAAACACAAATACTAATAACTTTCATTTGGTTTATACACAGAATATCAACAAATCAAAGCTTTACTATTATAAAGATAATAGTAAATTATTCATAAATAACTGGTTTGTATAACCCAGTGTCAGAAATAATTACAACATATATGAATATGTGTCTAACAAATCTCACTGAAAGAACACAATCTATGTATTTTTAAAACTAACCCACTGGAGAAATAGATTATTTATTTATAAAAAATGTTATATAAAATTATTCTTGTTTTCTATAGGAGTCAAATAATATTACATATAGAAATAGGTAGCTTTTCCCAAGAAACTCTCAGTTGAGAATAAAAATTCTACAATAAAGTGCATTAATCAGGCAGTTAATCTATTGTGATACCTAGCAGTTTCCTTTTGTTTTCAAAAAAATCAAATTTTGCTAATGTAAAAATTATGTAAAGTCAAAAATCCAATTTTAATTAACAACATAAATTATTAGATAATTGTTTACCTCAAGACCAAGAAACTTTGTTGTTTCTCACACTTGTCGTTCCCAGTTAATGCTAATATTTACTTATTCTTTTGCTAAATGTTCTCATACCATTCCAAATTTTAAAAGCAACTAAACAAAAACTAGTGATATCTATATAGGACAAATGGTTTTTATTTTAAAAAATAGAGATATCAAATATTATTTACAAACTTTTAAGTATAGAAATAATTATATAACCAGAAGGAAATGGGCCTATGCAGCCCAGACACACATTTCTGTATACCTCACTACTTCTACTCCCAGGCTTCTAGAAGGCCTGATTCAGTTCCGACAGACCATAGCTGTAAGTTTCAAATAAGAAAATAAAAATCATTGATTAGGCCTCCTGACTTGAGATACATTTAATTATAATATGTATTTATAATATAATCATATTTATAATGAAAGAATGAAAAATTAGTTTGTAAATTTTTAATTGAACTTATAATTAAGGGTCTTAATTAATTTGT